GTCAATGCAAATATATTAACTTGATGAAAATGCGTTGACGCACACGTCTGAGTCGGATAAGTATGAGTTCAGCTTGTCTTCTCTTGAACTCTCTCCTAACAACTTTCATTTCAAGAAATATATATGTGTGTGTGTGTGTGTGTGTGTGTGTGTGACTATTTGAATCCAAAGAGTATTCTTTTTTAATCTGTATTATTAAGTTTCGAGATCTGCACAAAGGGACGATGATATGTTATTGGTCCTTTTAAGGGACAAATATTAATTTTTTAAGGGAAAATAATCGTATTCATTTTTTGAATAAATGTTTTCTTGTTATCTTACCACATTCTTAAGTAATCTTCATCTTGCTTATGCATGCATTTTAATAACTTTTTTGTACCTTGAATTTAATTTGGGAAAACATAACTAATGGTCTGTACAATTTTATCATGTTATGTTATTAGTCCTTTTAATTTTTTTTTTTTTCATGTTCCAGGTTTCTATAACTTTTGCCTTCTACAACGTTAGTCCATCTATTTTTAAATTAAATATACGCAAAGGAATGATGATATGGCACTGACAATTTTAAATTAAGGCATTACAAGCGTTGTCACCAAAACAATCTTCATGAAAAAGTATTTTTTACCTACTGCTAATTCAAATTTCTAACCTATTGTATTTTAAACACATTAGCATCCTCATTAATGTTGTTAATTACACATCAAACAATTTTACACTATTATTAGTATCATATCATCATCTATTTGGGCACATTTAAACATAAGAAGGTTGTAGATGCAAAAAATTAAAGGAACATGAAACATCAACAAAATATAGGAACCGATAACAAAATGTACTAAAATTATATGGGCCAATAATTATATTTTTTTCAATTAATTTTCTTCGGATGATTTTTTGATATGGCTATCTAAGTGGATTATATAAGTCCAATTAGGAGTAGTTCTCCCAAAAAATATTTTCCGCTTTCATATTGACTCAAATTCGAAGCCTTTCATGCATATATAATATTTGTGATCTGAATAAAAAATATTTAAGAACGATTTGATAATTAACAACATAACCCATTGTTCTTAAATAATTATTGTTATAATTCACTTGAACCTTCGGATAGTCCAACATCGATCGTGGTTAAAAGTGATAACAACTTGAATAAAAAAAACTCAATAAGTCTCGAGAGTTATGAATAATCAATATATATATATATATATGATGTGCAATTAAGTGTTGCCCTTGAGTTTTGGAAGCCATCGATTGTGATATTTGCTGTAATTAATTACCAAGATCAATTAAGCGGCAAACATCTTTCTTTTGTTAATGCAGGGCAACACTGTATTATTTTTAAAAATATTGGGGTTATATTGTGCCATCAAATATTTAAAAATATTGATTCCACCTTGGTGAATACTTCCAAGGTAAATTTATAGTTTAACTAATATTATAATTTCCTTGGTCCTTTTGGTAGGTCATGTTTTAGAATTAATTTACATATTTTTTTTTCTAAGATGTAGTTCTCACACATTTTAGTGTATTTGATACCTTTTTTTTTTTAGCAAATGAGTATAATAGAGAGAATGTTTATTTTTGGTGTTATTTAATTAGAAGTAAAGATGGTGACTTGTGGAGTTAAAAAAAAAAAAAAAAGATGAAAGTACTTGTACACTTGTATTCCCTCCCACTTTCTTCACTTAGCTTGTAGCCTTGTATTTTCTCCTGTCATTTTTATAAGACAGTATATGAGATATTTATTACTTTCTTCATTTAAAATTATAAATTATTTTTTAAAAGGTTAGATATTAAAAAATATAAGATATTTTTAATCTTTTAAAGTGTAATCATTATCTTTTTTTTAAGATGCTCTTATTAAATAAATAATTTTGTATTTATTTTAAGGTAAGACACCCTATTAAAGAAGGGTAAATATAAAAAAATAAAGTTAGTTTAAAGATAAATAACTACTTTATTGGGAGGTGAGATTTGATAAAAATACCTTATATTTTTAAATGAAGAGAGTACATCTTTCCCATATTGCTTCTATTTAATGTGTTAATTCATTTTATTAGAAATTATATCATGATTTTAAATAAGGATAAAATTAAAAATTTATTTTATTTTTAAATAGAATTACTGGATTTTAAGCATCTCATTGTTTTTATTGATGATAATGGTGGAAGTGTTTGATAAAAACGACCTGGAGGAATAATTCACCAAATGATTAATACAAGTAACATTAATTAATTCCATAATCTTCTTGCTAAAAACAAGTTCAACCATACTAATCAATTTTAACAAAAAAGTTACCAATATGGAACATAAAAAATAAGTCTTTGAATAAACTGTTTAGAACTTTAATTCAGGACGAGTCACTCTTTAACTTACAATAGGAATGTTTGAAAGAAGAATATAATCTTAATCAAATCCATGAGAAGTTTGATAAATATATAGGTTAATTTTGCATTATAGTACTAATTTCTTGTGGTCTAAGAATTGAACCTCACTTAAAAAAAAAAAAAAGGTAAAGAATGTGGGTGTGAGAGAGAGAGAGAGAGAGAGAGAGAGCAGAATGGTACTGCATGATGTCACTGTGGAGGGCCAAGTTGCTGGAAAAGTAGACAGCTTTTTGGCAGTAAAGATAAAAATTAAAGTAACTGATGTAATCAAAAATAGAATTCAGCCCTCGTTGCTTCCCCTAACTTCCACCTTTTTTAACCTTTGAAAACTTTTGCATCTGCTATAACTTTATCTAATATTTTCAATCAAATTATTGATATGAGGTTTATTTAATTTGGAGACATTTCCATATGATTTGGAGCTTTTTACATATATATTATCACAAAAAATGAAGAACTACAAATACAATTATATTGCAATATATCTTGCACAAAATATCTTTTATTAGATACATTTTTGATTCTATTTATAATGTAGAGAAAGAATATTTTCTTTAATTATATGTATAGGGAACCTCAATAATTATTATATCTATCTTTACTCTTTTATCTCTATTCAATGTTAGGAAAATTATCAAATACTAGAGTATTTTATTTTTAAAGTATGTATATTTAATACGGATAAAGTTAAAAACTTGTTAAATTTTTAGACAGAGTTAATAAAATTTAAAATTTTTCTTAATTTCAATGAAAATTTTAAAAATAACTTATAAATAAAACTGAAGGAAGTATTAGTTTTACTATCAGGTCATCATCAAATAATAATGGCTTTGATGAATCCCAATGGTTGCAAAAGATCTAACCATATGGGATTATTTATTATTCGGCTAAGCAACTAAAATCTTCAATACTCAAAGGTTAATCTTTTTCATCCCTATATAGATATAGTCATATATTCAAAAAGAAAGTAACATTACATGTTATCAGGAAGTTAAGAAATCAATCTATAATTTTTTTATATATTATTCATTTATTTCCTTTAAATTTAATTTATTTATCTTTTTCTCTGTCTCTCTTTGTGAATGTGTATTATATATATAATCATTTTATGACTGCAGAAAATCCACATTAATGAATGTGTTGAAACAAAAGAATGATCCTAATTAGGAAGTACACAAAGAGCTATGTGGTTAAACCATATATCCACACAACTATATATCAATTGTTCTACCGAGATATATATATTTCTTCCCTTAAAAATATAAAATATTTTTTAAAGGGTTGGATTTTTAAAAATGTAAAGCAATTTTAATCTTTTAAAGTGTAATTATTACTTTTTTTAAAAGTGCCCCTATTAAATAGATCACTTTATTTTTTTTAGAATGAAACACCTTATTAAATAAGAATAAATGTAAAAATATAAAGTTAGTTTAAAGATAAGTAACTATTTTATTGAAAGATGAGACTCAGTTAAATATATCTTATATTTTTGAATGGGTGGAGTGTATAGTTTAATTTAACATTCTTAATGTGCAAATATGTTCGAGTAGGTGAGACCCTTCAACACAGAGGGTTCGACAACCTAAATGCATGACATGTGCATTGGCTTGCCTAAGGATCCATTACAAGCAGCACAATTTCTATCATGATACTGCTAGCCATTTTAATTGAGTATAATTGATTATAAAAATAATTAATTAACATAAGTAATTTTAATTATAATTAATTATATTATAATGCAATCTATTTAGATATTAAAATTGATTTCAACTATACAAATTACCATAACAGATATTACTTTTTAAAATTAAATTATTGATATAGTTGCATTTAATATTATTAAATTTGTTAAATTTTAATACATCCGTCTTAAATTATAAAACACTTTTGAAAGAGTCTCTCCGTCCCAAAATATAAGACATTTTGGTAGATTAAGATGTCATTAAATGCAACAATTTCAATATTATCCTTTCTTTTTCTATAATTAATTTCTATCTTTTCTATTTTCAATATATTAAATGATGGATATTTTTGAAAGTTTATATTTTTATTTTTAAAAAATAAGGTTGTTAAATATATTTAATGAGATTTATTGATATGTGAGATTTTATCTAAAAATATCTTATAATTTAAAATGGAGGGAGTACTTAAGAAGTAAAATATATTATTTAATAGTAAAATTAAATTTATAAATAATCTGTCAGAGCTTATTTTAAAATATGATTCTGGCTCAATAATCAATTATCATACTTTTTGACTGTTTGGGTAATTTTTTTTTAAAATCAATTATTTAGCCACAAAAATTGACTATATTATCGATTCAAATTCCAATCAGGCTATGCACCATCTTTTTGCCTTTTCCCAGAAACCCCTAATTAACTATGGCCCACCATCACTGTAGATATCTATCCTCCACATTAAAATCACCACGCAACTCATCCTCTTTTTCACACCCTAAACTTTTTTTTTTTTTCCCCTTTTGCAATAGTTAATTGTGATCTTTTCAAAATAGCTGGCTGGCGAGAGCTTATTGCTTTGTCCTCTCCCTCTCAAGTTTCTTTATATATAATTTCAAAGCAGATCTTGTTTTGCACATTAATTGGATGTACTATAGTACTGGTACTGCTGCTTTCAGAGAAGTGAAGAAGAAAGAAGAAAGGTTAAGCCAATTTGGAGGAAGAATGGGTCATCACTCTTGCTGTAACAAGCAGAAGGTGAAAAGAGGGTTATGGTCACCTGAAGAAGACGAGAAACTCATCAACTACATCACCACTTATGGCCATGGTTGCTGGAGCTCTGTCCCTAAACTTGCAGGTTTCATATACAATCCCCCCCCCCCCGGGATTTCTCTTCTCTCTTACAGCTCATGATGCTTAATTACTTTTGTAGCTAGTCTGATACTTGTGCATCAAACACAAGCCAACAATAACGTTTGTTTGGCTTTCAAGCTATTAAACACTTATTTACAAAGATGAACAAGTCATGTAATTAATGTGAAACATGTGGGTAAATGCCATATGGTGCTTTATGTTTGTAGTTTTAGATTGCAGGATTGGTTCTGAATTTATTATATATGTTGTTTAATTTTCTTAACTGTGCAGGACTTCAGAGATGTGGCAAAAGTTGCAGATTAAGATGGATAAATTATCTGAGACCTGATTTGAAACGAGGAAGCTTCTCTCCACAAGAAGCAGCTCTCATTATTGAACTCCATAGCATTCTGGGCAACAGGTGATCAATTAACTGATTAATTAATTGAATGATTGATTGATATTATTATTGTTAATTAATGTTGCTTGTTTAATTACTTTAGCAATATTATTAATTAACAGGTGGGCTCAGATAGCAAAGCACCTACCTGGAAGAACAGACAATGAGGTGAAGAACTTTTGGAATTCAAGCGTCAAGAAGAAGCTTCTTTCTCATGATCATCATCTTCTTCTTCTTCCTCCTTTGGCCACTTGTAATGGTGCTTCTGTGGAAAGCTTCTTCCCTTTCACTCCAAACCCTAATAATAACAACATGATCTTAATCTCTCACCATAATCATCATCCCCAAGACCAGATGTACCTTCCCACTTCATCATCACCACTGATTCAAGGTTTTCAATTTGATCATGAAGCTTCTGAAGATCTTAAGATAGGCAATCTCCTTCATCTCCAGAATCCTAATTTGCAGGAAATTACACCATCCAATGGTACTATTCCATCTTCTTATAATGAAGATAGTACTTGGTCACTGGTAAATCATGAAAATAATCAGATTCCCAGAAGTGATCATACCAATGACCTGTTATCCCCACATTACATTATTGATGAGAAATTCATGAACCCAAGTCAACCTGTTGATCCTAGTACTGGACAGAAATTAATGTTTCAGAGTTCTGTCGAGGATTATAATATTGTTTGTGGCGTCCCGTATTCATCTTCATCTGGTTCCCAAGAACAAGACCCTCTTGTTGCAAGAATCATGCAGAGCTATCCATCTTCTGGTTTTGGCTATCCACAAGATCAAAGTCAAATGGCTGACATGGCAGCCAATCACATGGAGTTCATAGAAGCCATCATGTCGTCGTTGCCATTATTATCATCATCATCCTCCTCGTCCCCGTCCCCACTGTCATCGAACAATCAAATTTTCGCAAATACCCCTAATCTTCCTTCATGTTGGGAGCCATGAAGATCGATAACTCTGATCTCAAGATGCTTCTGAGTAAAACATTAGTTTGATTCTTCGAACATAACCTCAACATGAATTTACCTTTCCGAAGTTTTCTGCTTGTATCACTTTAATACTCAAGTGTATTATCATTTGTTTCAACCAGTAAAATATTCATTCATCTTTGAAAGGCTGGGTTGAAGCAAAATCAAGTGTTGAGTATTGGAGTGATTAAAAACTTTTGAGGTTATGTTTGATTGAGTCAATTGTAATTTTACTCGTTTGATTTATATATATATATATATATGTATAAAGTAACGATAAAATTTAGAGATATGGGACTCTCATTTTGATGTACTTATTTATGAATGCTATATCGTAACTTTGTCTGATCAGTTGCTTTTTCAGTGAATATCACAGTCATGCCTGCTTGTTCACTTCAGACTCTTCCATAAGTAGTGGATGCTTACTGAAGTTCCATAAATATGCATGCAGTCTCTTGGTTCTTTGGTATGTTTGTCAACTAAAAATGTTAGGAATGGGAGTGAATGCCCACCAGAGAGAAAGATTGTTAAATTATCTGAGTGTGTGTGGATGAAAAGCCTCAAATTGAATAAAAGTGGATTTAATAATTCATATAAAATAAAGAGAAAGAACCCATTTGTTTTCTCCTTCGTTTCTGGACGATCGCACTTCATTCTTACAAAACAAAAAAAAAAAATTGGAGCATTGTGGGGAGTAACTCTTACTCTATACTATATACATTAACATATTCCATTCCCCCCTCCCTCTCTTACACACACAAATAATGGTCAACTTGATGGCACTGGAGGACGAGGTGCCTTTAAAACAAAAAATCGGGAGGCTATACCAGCAAAGGGTTGTACTGGCTATTTTGTCTCATAGCATGCTTTAATAATTTCCAAAGTTTATAGTACCAATATAGAACTTTCTTGCGATTGAAGGTTTTGATTAAAGATTCCTAGGCATTGTTCGGCGAGATTATAGACTTATGATTCGACATTGAAGAAACAAGTCCATGAAAACAATTGTAAAGCTAACTATAATAACATTTTTAACAATTGTAATTAGTTTTTTCAGGTGCCCATTCGAGATTAGTGGTTGTTAAATTTTTTTTTTATTTGTGGGAATTAATGTTAAAAATATGTCAATAATTTATGAAACTAATTAATAGAAAGTAAAGTTGTGTCATTCATTAACATTTCTTTCAAAATATCAGCCTCAAAAATTACATCTGCATGCATTGACTTTGTGAAAGAGTCCATCCTATCCTGTCTTGACATTTTGGTTTCATACATCTTTGCTTATAAATTAGATCAACTTTTGAAAAAAGAACGTAAAACAAAGAGTCATTTCCAGCTCGAGAAAGAAAACAGAGGAAAAGATAATCGCCCTTTTCCCCACCAATTCATTCTTCGTTTTTTTTCCTTTCATTGTTTTTAAATTTTTAAAAAAACCATGTGCTTTGATAATTACTCTCAATCAATCAACCAGAAAAAGAAATTTTAAACCCTCCATACTCATCATAATATAATCATCCATTCAAAGAGACAAGAACATTAAAAAGAAATCATGACCGCCCTCTTTTGTTTTCTTTATCTTTTTTAATATATTATATACATAGTCACTTTTATAATTGCAGAAGATTGTCTGTAATCAATTCACTATCATAATATTGAAAATTAGGTCTACTTAGCTAATTTAACCGATCGAAAAACTGTTCAATCAATGTTTAACTAGTTTAATGAAATGCTTTATTCAAAACCAATCTAACCACAATTCAACTACTCCCTCCATCTCAAAATATAAGATACTTTAGGTAGATTTAGGTTTCATTAAATGAATCAGTTTTAATATTAAACTTTCTCTCTTTATAATTAATTTTCGTCCCTTTTCTTTTTAATATATTAAATGATGGATATTTTTAAAAGTTTATATTTTTGTTTTGAAAAGATAAAATTATTAAGTATATTTAATAATATTTATTGGTATGTAAGATTTTGTCTAAAAGTATCTTATAATTTGGGATAGAAAGAATATACTTTTAATTATTAACCCTAAAATTAGTGTCTTGACTGGTTTTATAATTAATCCAATTTTTAGTACCTTGTAAAAAAAAAAAGGAGGGCTAATGGTGAGATGGAGTTAAGAGGCAGCAAGGTAACAAGGGGGAAGCTCAATAATGGAAGGGCCCAGAATTTTGGAGGTGGACTGGCTGCCTGTGATAAAAATCTTCTTTGGATTTCAAGGGACAAAGCTTCAACACTCAAAGCTGGCCCTTTCCCAGCATTCCAATCAGTTTCCACATTTAAGAATCTTCAAAAGTCCCTTTTGCTTTCTCATGGCCCATCTTCGTCTTCTTCACACTTTTTCTTCAACACAGGGTAGGGTTTCAGCATTGCGGAAAACAGGTAACACCACCTTTTCTCATTGACTTTGTAACATCACAAGCCTTCGGATTCTATCATATGCACTATAAGCTGCTATTGCTTTATCTGATATCTTTCACACTGGATCAAGATTTGTGAATATTGCACTAAAACATGGTAAAATAAAATGCATATATTCTATTTCTTATTCAATCATTTATTCATCTGTAAGATTGTTGCGATCCATTTCAGACGGCACAACCAGCTAAGCAAGTAGTGAGAAAAAATGAGTTTAAGCTCGGAGCATGTGTGCAAGTGACTGAGTGAGCAACAAAGTCTGAGAGGAACTGACGAAATGAGGGAATGGTCTGTATGAAATAACTAGGTTAGAGTGAATATTTGAAATTTTAATGAATTATGCTAAATTTTATTTGAATTTTGTTTGAGTTAAATATAAAATGTCGCTTGTTAAAGCGTTTGAGTAAGTCATAAAGTTATATGGACTAAGTAACTAAAGAATTAGGCCCAATCAACAATATAAAAAAAAGGGCCAGCCCGAGCTCAGTGGGGAGTCACAATGCCAGATAAGCATGTTGAAATCTCATGAATTGCAAACCCACTCAAATATAACATTAAGTAAAATTAAAGATTCAAATTTTGTAAGTAGACAAAATAATATTGGAAGAGTTACTTCCAATTGAACTCAATAATATTCAAATCCGGTTCAACAGTACTAAAAATTGATAATTATACACCCAAAAAATTCTTTTGAAGCATAATTCCGAAAGTTCATACCAGGGTCACGCTATTTTTAGCCCTTTTAGAGGTAAGCATTGAAAATTTACTGGACAGTTGTATATGGCCAAGCCAATAACATCACCAGGTTCAGCAAAGAGTACTGTATACTACCTCCGTCAAGTAAGGCTTCATTAATTGAAGAATATGGGGACTAGATGTTTCCTTGTTCATAAAAGGTCAAGGTTCTCATCATGAACTTTTAGGGGATTCATGGCCTGAAAGATCATTTACCAGAATGACAAAACAGGAATCATACAAGTCTCCCGAATACCATCATTGAAGGCTGCTATACGCAAATCTCAAAGTTTTATCACATGTGCAATTGGTATTTTAAAATATTTAAAAGCCCAATGTTTTCATTGATGCTTTTAAAGTTGTGCAATTTTACCATAGGAGCAAAAAGTTGATTGTTTGTTGACTTGTTTACGCTTACGTGGCATTTCCATAAAGCTTTCACGTCACTTTTTATCATTTGTTAAAAAAAAAAATAGGTAGCATATAATAATAATAATAATAATAAATGGTGGTGGGTCCCACTACTTTTGCCATCAACCCATAACCTTTCATCTTTCTCCTACCGACCTCCCCATCTTCCATTACCATGACACTGCCATTCTTCTTCCTCTTCCACGACACAAGACTACCACCAAGTTCATTGTAATAACTCAGGAATTTTATAAAAAAAATTAAAATATATATTATTATATTTTAAGTGTATTTTTATTAATTTTAGGACAAACTTAACAAGAAGAAGGGTTGGCTTGGTGAACACTATCTTGTCATTTATTAAAGGTTTCAGGTTGGAATCCTCTGGAGGCAATAGGAGAATTTTTTTTTTTTTTTTTGCAAATAGTCTGGTTAAATTACCATTATGCGCTCCTCCCTTAATATGATATTTTTCTCTCTTCTCATTCTTTTCTTTCAGGAGAATCACGTTGAAACAGAGATGGAAAGCTCTGGAACCCTCACCATGTCCTTCGTCTCCGCCCTCTCTTCCTTCGCCATTTCCGGACATCGCCAGCGTGTGTGAGCAGAGATTCTGGCCGTTGATGCATGAAACGCAAAGCTCGAAAGTCTTCCTCTTTTCCTTTGCATTAAGTCGCTATTGATCGCTGCCTGGGAGGGGTGTCCTATCGCACTCAGAACCTTGCTGCTGTCATCGAAGAGCTGAACTAGTCGGGATCTCCCTTCTACGCGTTCTTCTTCCTTGTAACTGTTCTGTCTTCTCTTATTGGTGTTGTCGTCGACCAATGCTGTGGAGGCCGTGGATGGTCTAAAACATTCTTCCTGTTCTTTCTCTGTCTATGCAAGCACTTTGGGCTTCCTTGTCATTTTTCCATCCACTGCTAGTGTTTTCCTCCTTTCAGCTCGTCTGCATAGAGCCTTTTCTCATCTTGCTTCTCTATTCAATTTTCTTAGGATGAGGAGATTTGGAGGACTAGAAATTTAATTCACATTAAAAGATGAATTTTTAAATATTCTAAAAATTTTAAGTAAATGAATATCATCTGGATTGATTTTTTAATAAAATTATCTTTATCAAATATTATATTTTTATGTAAATTATTTTAATAACAATAATATAATTATTGAATATTTGCTAATTAATTTACTTCAATTGGCGAAATTACCCTTACCAAAATTTGATAATTTTTGTTAATCAATATGTGCAAGAAAATATTGGGTTGATATGAAAAACAATTCTCGTGAGTTTGATGTTTGAAACAAAAATTTTATTTTAATATTGATAATTTCCTTGCAAGTTTGAAATTAAATTTAAAAGGGACTTTATATAAAACACTAGTTACTAACGATAATTTCCTTAATCATTGGCCCCTTGGTCAATGACTAGTTAGGTTGAATTTCATAAGCCCTATTCTCACATTTGTTATTCATGGGTTTAATACTTGCATTTGTTTTCAAGGCTCCCTATTGCATTTGGTTAATATTACTCTTATAAACTGTGTGTCTATATTTGTTTTGTAACCCAAGCTACGTTTGGTTACTTATTCTCATGTACTATATATCCACGTTTGTCTATGTGACATAAGCCATATTCGATTATTTACCTTTATAGACTATATGTTTATATTTTTTTAATTGTTCTAATAAATTTCTATAATTATTAATTTGATTATTTGGTAGTTTTATATCCCATGGTTTTTATTTAATACTTTATTTATAAATAGTTATTTCATTTATGTGCTTGCTTAAAATCAAGTAATAATAACATTTGCTATAATAGTTCAATAGTTTAAAATTTTATTTAAAAGTTTGTAGAGTTATTTTATTCTAAAGTTTATTGAATTTTTATAAAAATTATTGTCTCTTTAACTTACATAATTGGTTCAAACTTTTCTTTTTATTTATATTCAATTCTTTATTATTAGGATGTTATTTACTGAAAAATTATTTTTGATCTCAAATATCTTAATTAATGCTAATCCTCCTATTGACCTTGAGAAAGTGTAGATGTGTTGGGTAAAGAATTGATCAAAATTTTTCTTTTGATATAATTATAAATGCTTATGTATTTGATTTTTGGATAAGTCAAGTTAGGTGATCTGCATAGGTTATAACTTGAGCTTTTATTTTAGTATATATGCTATTTATTGATTGGAAGGAACTAAGCTCCTTATTGATATAATATTTTATAAATATTTTTGTATTGTAACATTTTTGTAAAATTCTATTTGCAAGGAAGGTTCTATTAAAATTTCTACAAAAAATGTTGAAATTTTGTTATAATGACTAATATTAAAAATATTAAAATTTCAATATAAATCGAATTAGATTTTAGAAATGAAATGAATTTAAAATTAAAAACTTACAGAAATGTATAATATAATTCACATCTCATATTAATTATTCTCCATTTTTTAAGTGTGACATTTATCTTCCATTTCCTTAACAATACTTGCTTGATTTCAATATTGTCACTATCGATGGATTCAAAACTCAAGAATGTTAAAGGGGTGGAGTGTTTGATGGGGAAAGAAAGGTCAAAACATTTTTTCAGAAGAAAAAAAGATGAGTTGGATGCCACATAAACATGACACGTCAACATGATAAGTCAACTAACGGTTAACCTTTTGTTTCTATCAATTTGGGGCGACAAGACACCACTTTAAAAGACGTCGAGGGCAACATTGTATTTTAAAATACTTCGAGACACCAACTGCATTTGCGAGAAAATTTTGAAGGCAAATTTGTACATCAACTCTAATATTAACCTCAAATTTCCAATATGAGACGTGCGTCAAGTTCTTTGCAATTTGGTCATGACAAAATCATACATTTGTTGTGCTCACAAAACTTGAGACTAGAATTGGAAAAGCTAAGATTCATAGACAGATAAATGGACTGCATTGGAAATTGCAACTGACAAGAATCTCCATCGTGCATATTGGATTATCAACTGAATGTACAAACAACTCAATACATCACATATCCCTAAAATATTGCACCATTGCATGTATGGTTTCTCATCAAGTCTCTAGACGAGAGTATTCAGCCCCAGATTCCAAGGAACTAAGCCGTAATCCTCGACCGACCTTTTGCTATTCTTCGAGCAATGACTCTTCTGCCACCCTTGGTTGCCTTCCTGCTCATTTGAAAGGAACATAATGTCATCTACATCAGCGCAGTCCTCCACCCCCAACATAAATATGCACATCCATTATGCATATAGGTTTACAGTTTTGTCCTTGCTCTATAACCAAGTACTCAATGAGTATGCCATAATCATTTCGTAAAGGCAAGGAGGCAGGCAGGCAGGCCCATCCTTTGGCCTTATGGCACCTACTCAGATTGCCAGGTCATAATCTGTAGTTCCATGCTCCATTTTTAGTCATTAAAAATTTTCTCAAATTATTTTATGCCTGTACAACAGGGACAGAAACCTAAACTACACACCAAAGGAAGTGATACTCAATGTCACAATTCAAGTGACAAACCATATCCCATTGAGGCACACTTTAAATATTCTGTTCAAGCAAAATGTTTGCATACCCTAGATAACTTCCATGTTACTCGTCTATGCCAAAGCGTCTAATGATGACGTTATCAACTAAACTTCTACGGTTCTCTCATATTACAATCAGGTAGAAGAAAGGAGCATAAGAGTTTATATCAGTCTTCTTTCTTCATGTTAAAGGAGAAAAGGAGACATATATGTCAACAAATGAGATATTTACCGAGCGAAAAAGCCATGATTCCTCTTTCGCCGGATAAGGCTGGGTTGGAATGTCCTTTCGGGGAATAAAAGCATTGGTTTCTCTGATGAAGAAGCATCCCCTGCAGAACAATTAGAACAATTTAATCCAAAAGGAAAAGGAGGTAGAAATACAGATTGATTAGAAGAGCTTGACTGCTTGATAAAGATCACTAGCAACATGCAGGCAACATTTAGAAAAGAAAATACATGCAGTCCTTGGTCAACCACAACTGAATGATGGGAAAACAAGATATGCACCAACCAGGGCTCAAAAATGAATCTATAGAAGTTAGTCCAAAAATATGATCCTTCAATTAATCAAATTCATCATAAACTAATCAGGGTACTTTAACTCTCAGACAGCTGAGATCATATGTATCAAGTTCAAAGGGACCACCTTGTTCCCATACATCTTCGTATGCAAAAACTATGTAGGATGTTTAACAAAAATAAAAGTAGCACATATTAACAGGAAAGAAATGATTTCTCCCTCAAGGCAAATGAAAGAAACTGACATGACTGGCTAGTGTTGATTTGCAATGACCCTTTGAATCCATTAAAGTAACTACAGCAATGGAAGGAAAACCTTTTAACATAGGCCAAGGAATTATGTGATTGTATTTAAATCTATACATATTATATTGGCTATTGATCTACAATCTACATCAAACCGCATACTATTTCCCTATCCCTGTTCTTTCAACTAGAAAAGTTAAACTTCCAGGCACATTAGTGTTAACTCTTAAGATAATTATATTAAGAGGAATAATGTGAGCAAAAGTCTGAACATTCTGACTCAAATAAGAAAACCTCTTCAAATGATGCATACTCATTTGGCACTTCAGAACTCTATTACAAAGTCATTTTACAGAGTTCATCCAAAAACAGTACCTCATTATTTCCCTCTTGTATCTATTGAGTTTTAACTTAAAAAAACATCTTTACTCGTCTATGCTTCCCTGTACGTGCAAACAACATAAACAAGATCACAAAACGAGGAACTGAAGTGTGCCACTTCTTCCGATGTTTTTGTCCAAGTGGTAGGAATTTAAATTATTTAATAGATATTTGTCCAAAAAAAGTATTTATTAGATAACAGCAGAACAATGTATCTTATTATAATAAACTCAGCTTTTAAACCAACAAGTCAATGGTAAAAATTGGCATAGCACAATGAACAAATTAAATGCTCAAAATGAATTTTGCTGAACAAAATGCACTGGATATGCTACCATGGCTTCATAACCCATTAGTAGTTAACCCATCAAACTTAACGAATGAATAATTACAACTGAAAAGGTGGTTGAGGTTAAATGGTGGAGCGAAATGTTCAAGGGAATGATACCCCCATGATTCACTGTGATAACTGCTAAGTGCTAACTAAGCAAAGAGATGTCAGAAAATCCGGTGCTCCACTAGAGAACTAAACATGTGGAGCTGAACCTCAAGTTTGTCAGAAAGAAGATAATCGCTTGCTAGCTGAAGTGACATATATTGCTTTCCACAAACACATGGCAAACATCCTAATCGAACCTTTCACCAATAAAAGCCTCCATTGCTTCAGAAAGAAACTAGGAGCAGAAACCTACAAAAATTTTCAGTTCAAGAGGAGCGAATGATGGAGGATAAGGATAGCTCAATCAACCAAGTTTGATTTGATGGAGAACGTTATAGGATGATAGCATATAGAAGTTAGAGAAGTTAACATTGTCAGGACAGTCAACCAAGTTGGTTAAAGTAGTTATTTGCATAATAGGTTATGAATGTGCGCGCGCGCATGTGGCTCTGCTACCTGAGAATCAATCAAGAAAATTGAATTGAATAAAAAAAATAAAAAGAAAAAAGAAAAATATTTTGCATGCTATTCAACATTCAATATTTCCAACAAGTAAAGATAACTAATAGCGTCAAAGAATGTAAGCGTACCATCAGGTAAGAAGAATCGGAGAGAGGAAAGGCCACAAGGGTACAGGAACCTATCAGGAGCGAACTTGTTTGGCGATTCGGCCTCATTTTGTGGAAGTTGGAGAGAAGTAGGGAGCTTGGAGACGGAAGGGAATAGCTTGGGAGCGATTTCAAGGGCAGGCGATGCAGCCTGGTGATTCGAATGCAAACTTCGGTGAAGCAACAAGTTCGAAAACCGCTTCAACAAAGAGATTACACTATTAAAAAGGGCTTTCGATGCCATTTTTCACACTGAAATTTCAGAGCTTCCCCCTAAGCCCTGTTGAACCAGAGCAAAGCGGGGAGGAAGAATTTTCAGGCCGGGTCCCACCTTCCTTAGTTCGGTTCCTAATTTTTTTTTTGCCCGCTCGTAGTCCATTGTGAAAGCTTTGAACGTTCATGGTTTTTCGGCCATCTTCAACTTTCATGCACACTGCATAGCTTACAGTTTTTTTTTTTTAAAGGAAACACAATCATCCACTAATTCAAAGCTTTCTTCGTAGAGTTTTGTTTTTAGTCTTTAGCTTTTTTTTATATTTTTAGTTTCTATAATTTTAAAAAAAATTAGATGAGTTTTATTGTTCAGATCCCTGTAATTTTTATTTTTTAGTGTTTTTAGTCTCTATAAATATTAAAAACATTAAAAAAATTATAAATTATATCTTTTTTTTTTTAAGAAAGAATAGCTTTATGCTTATAGTCACAACAATTTAACCATTTGGAAAACAAATAATAAAAATGGGATGTAAAGGAAATTAAAATCTTATATTTAAAATCAAAACAATTTTTTAACTAACTCTCACAATTAGAACTGCAAGGAGTGTATAGGTCCTGCCTAGTTTTGATTAGAATCAACAAAATGAAATTGGAAGATTTTATCTTATTTACCTTTATTATTTATTTTCAAATACACATTATTATTTTGGTCTATGAGATGTAATTTTCAAATACTTCCGTTGTTTTAAATTATAAGATAATTTGAAATACAATTAGTATACCAATAAAATATAATAATGATACTTTATAAACCTATTTTTTCATAACAAAACTATAAACTTTCAAAAATACTTCTACACACTTAATCATTACTCCTTTCGGATCACAATATATGGCATTTTTTAGAAGCTTTACTTAATTTAATACAAGGCATTGGGTAATTTTTATACTTCTTCCGTTGAAAAATGTAAGGCATTTTTAATTGAATCTCAACCCCTAATAAAGTAGTTATTTACTTTCAAACTAACCATATTTTTTTATATTTACCCCTATTAAATACCTTATAATAAATATAAATTCATCATTAATAAGAGCATTTTCGAAAAAAGACAATAATTATACCTCAAAAGATTAAAAATGCTTTACATTTTTTAACATCCAACTCCTCAAAAAATGCCTTATATTTTTAACAGAAGGAGTAATTGTTTTTCCAATTGTGACTGTACTTCATTTAATCTTTTTTAAAAAAGGATGTATTAAAATTTTAATTATCATCATTAAAGCACCTATATAGAGTATTTAATGTGGGTAAAATTGAAAAAATTTAAATTTTTTTTTAAGAAATTTAAGTTTCAATTAACATTTTAAGCACCATGAATTAGTTACTAATACCTTATATTTTGGCCTAGAGGAAGTATATTATACTATTATTTTAATTCTCTTTCCACTTAAAAGGTATTATTGAAAAAATATCATTAATAAAATTTTATTTTTATCAAATTATCTTATATTTTAAAATAAAAAAAATCCTTCAAAGTTGTCTTATACTCCCTTCAAATTATAAAAGCCTTATTTGATCCAAAATATAAATTATTAAATAACTTTTATAATTATTATTTTAAATATACCCTTACATTATTTATTGCTTCTTTTAAAAAAATGATATATTAAAATTTTAATTACCATTATCAAAACACTTTATAGGATACTTAATGAAAATAAAATTAAAAATATAAGTTTTTTTACAAAATTAATTTTTCAACTTATATTTTTTTAAAAAATTTTAAATTATTGACTAATATCTCATATTTTACTTCGAAGGGAGCAATTTGGCACAAAGGGAGTACATATCATATTTACCCTTCATAACAAAACAAACGACCAATGGGGTTGAAGTCTCTGGACCAGTCTATCACTGATTATCATCCGATTTTATTCCTCACAGGCACGCAACAAAGAAATTCATATTCTAAAAAACCATCGATCCAAGTTTATCTATATTCAAACAGATAATTATATTGAAATTACACCTGCACAAGTTTTGCTAGTAATAACTTACAAGCAGACGAAGTGGCATTTTTAAAATATGCCCTACATATTACAAGAAGCATTTGCTTCACATAAGAAACAACAGGGGCCAAAGAAACAGAAACAATGAAGACGATGAAAAAAATTATACACGAAAAATAGTTGTGCAGATTGAAAATCAACTACTGAATTGTTGTGACTATTCCTTCCTCCTTCCATCTTCGATTAAAAAATGATGAAAACAAGAATAAAGAAAGAATTATCATAACTCCCAAATGTACAGTACTTCTCAGGTTTTCATTGTTCACTCGGAAGCAAAGTAGAGATCCAATCAGAAGCTGCCGTTTGGATCTCCGATTCAATATGAGGAGAAAGAGAGAGTGGGGTTACTGCAACCTGTTCCTCCAAATCCGATGCAATAATCAGAGTAAATAAATGAATATAGAAAATAAAAATATAGTCTCTAAGTTTTTTGTTCGGCCATCATAGTTTACAAGACTAAGACACCCTCAATTTCAATGTCCAGACCCCAAAAAAAGAGTTGCATTGTTCATAACTGGTATATATCATTGACTTGCTATGGATTTTACATCTTATGTATATTGATAGCTTGATTTTCTTGAAAGCATGGCATCAGATTCTCTGATAAAATAAAACGTAATGTGTGAATATTTTTAACAAAGCATTACATAATTGAGTTTTTCAAAAAAGTTTCCCAGCATGTTTTGTTCTTTTACTAGAAAACCTAATGGTAAATGTACAAGGATATTCAGATATACAGTTCAATAAAACGTCAAAAAATGATAGTAATATATATATAACATCAAAAGTTAGTTAAAAACATAACCCCTATAATTTTCATTGTAGAATTTAGATGAACAATTCAAGATGGTCCAATGCTAACACTTACAAATCCACTTTCAAGTGCTCTGTAATCCAGATCATCTTCTAGATCCTCCTGCTGCTTTTCCAAAAACTGCAAATACAAGTAGTGTACGATTAAGCTCACTTCAACAAATAGCAGAACATCATTTAATTGCCACTAAAAGCAAAAATGTATCAAGGTGAAATAGCCACCAGGATCACGTGACGTGAAGATTAAATTCTAGAAGACCATAATTCAAATGAATCTTTCGAAGATTTCAGATATCATTGAAAACAACTTTACAGCCTTGGAATAACCTCTTAACGAATTGATATATTACATATTCAGCACAGAAAAAACAGATCAATATCACAATAAAAGGATTCTCCCATGATGAAAAAGCTAACGTTCAATGAAGGATTTCGGTTTTTCCTCCCTCCTATTTACCTCTAATCTGAAATATTTCTTCACTCTGCTGAAATTAGGCTTTCCTGCAGCTCCAACTGATTCAACAACCTCCAAATTCTCTTTCTGTGTAGTCAATCTGCGAGCTGCACCCTGAAGCAACCAAGAAGAGATTATGATATTTGCACCAGGAATGCACTACAATCCCGTAAGATAACTAAAACACACAAAATAAAAATGTAGGTTACTCACAGCAGCAGAAGCATCTCGGCCAAGCTGCGCCAGCTGAAGGCCAAGGCCTTGTTGATTAGCCATGAAATGACCAGAAGGATAACGACGACTTGAAACAGCTTGCCAGTTTAGAGTGGATCTCCACATACTTTGCTTGGTCAATTTGAAACCCTGTCAATTAAGTAATTAACATACATCCATGTAAGACCATGAACTTTTGAGTAGAGTCAATCAAGAAGCAAAAACTATCATTCCAGAAAAGAATAAATGGAACATAGGTTTACAATGATACTACTCATAAAAAAATGCTGCCAACCAAGAGTAGCCATAACCTCATGAATCAAAAGCAGAATGAACAAGGTATTATGTTCAAGCTGTCCAGCTTGAAAGACGAAATTTAGCAGGAATTTGCAAGATCCATCCATCAAGATCGAACATAAATATACAACAACAACAACAAGCCTTTATCCCACTAGGTAGGGTCGGCTACATGGATTGCAAGACGCCATTGTGCTCTATCATTTATAAGATCGAACATAAATATACCATGTAAATAATAGCCTTAGGAAACAAACAGTTATGTGGAATGATAACCCCATCTCTAAGAAAACTACATTCAAGAAGTCATCTAGAAGACCACAACTCAAAAACACAACTTCTATATATTAGGTACCCATCGATTATGGTACCTTAACTTTTGCTCAGACCTTATAACATTATTTCAACATCATTTTGACAAATATCAGAGGATATGTATTGCGTGAGCTTCTTCAATCTTCATCATGCTCTTGTTAATAGAAGAAGCTTCAAACTAACACAACAACATCCATATGTTATTGCACTGCTGATTTCTCGGGAATAGTCTGATCCTTCCTCTACCATATCTTGAAGGTTGAAGCAGATAACAATGTTGAGAATTGAGATACATTTTAATTGATAACTTAGTAAAGATCCATGCAAACATCATATTGCAACTGGTGTGCAGGTTGAGATTTTTTTTTTTTTTAAAAAAAAGAAACTCATGATAGATTTTATGCACAACATAATCTCCAGACGTCACAATATAAAGAAACTAGTTCAAATGAGAAAAATTAACATTTTCGTTAAAAAGGTCAGGAATTCAGGCAAGTGAAAAGGTGAACTCGTACCAGAAGCAAAGAAACAGGGTAAATATCAATTAACGACAGCCAGCAGCAAGAGGATTAGAATTGGGAATTGAGGGAAGCTTAGGGCTCTTCTATCAGTTATTTAGAACTATGATATAATTGCTCAAGTAGGGATATATTATCCTCACTGGAATCTTAGCAAGATATCTCGAACTGTATTTACAATAATTTGAATTTTTGGTTATTTGAATCATGGTTGATGACAGTTCACAGCATATCACTACAATGAGGATCCTATAGCAACAAAAAACTGCATCACCCAGTGCAAAATTGAATATAGTGCATATAATTATATTATCCATAGTGAAAATTAGATAAAAGACTCGTGTTTAAATTAAAAATATATAAAAACATATCCCAAATGCAAACATGATAACAGGCAACAACTATGCAGAGGATGAAAGTCCATTGTCAAGAAATGATCTCAACC